ATGGAGAGGCAGCAGTGGGTGCCAGTCCACATCCTTCCTCCCTTCTCCCCTATACTTCTCTGAGAGCCCTGCACCAGTCCTCAGAGTAGGATAAGGCAGCTGTGGAAGCTGGATGAACATTTTCATTCCAAGCTTCTGAAAGGAAGCTAGGCTGGTATAGCTCTGTCAATTTAGAAACCATGTGGCCTAAAAGATGAAAGAGTGGACACTCTTTCTTTCATCAAGTATTAAAATACTTGACACAAAAGCAAATTCCTGCCTGGTGGCGTATTTGCAGCAGCTGACAGGATTAGCCTGCTGCTCCCTCTGTGAGGGTCTGGGCTCACTCCAGTGCACAGCGGGCATACAGAGCCAGGAGAAAGCAACCGGAAGCCTCCCCACACACAAAAAGCCACCCCCCAAAGCCAACACCCCTCATCAAAGCTGCCACTCAGAAGCTCCTCTGGCCAGCTCCAGGACAGAGTGACAAAAACCCAGGCTCCTCCTCTCTCCCCCTCTCCAGGGTCACAAGGAATTCTGTGACCTGAAGCTAAGCCATGCCAGCCCTCCTGGCCCCAGAGGTCTCCCCAGTGACCTGGGCCAGTTGGCTCCTGGGTCCTGCAGGCCAGGCAGCTCAGGCCTGGCCTCATGGCAACTCTGAGGGCCGCCTCCTGCCCTTCTTTCTCTGGCCCTGTTTTCCCTCACCAGCTTCACTTCCGCACGCTTTGTTCCTGCTCACTCAAGGATCTTGTAGGAAAGCCAGATCCCTCGCTCCTGCTAAAAAGGGAAGGTTTTAAAACTTGGAGAGGGGTAGGGCTGCCAGATTTAGGGAAACTCAAACAAACAGGATACCCCATTAAAGTTAGATTTCAGACAAACCGTAATGATTGTTTAGTATAAAGATGCCCACACAACATTTGGAACAGACTTATGACACAAAACACTACGTCTGTTTTATCTGAAGTTCAGTGCAACTGGTATCCTACACCTAACAGGCAGCCCTGTGTGGTGGGGGAGGGTGGAAGTAGCAGGAGTCTAGAAGCACAAATCACCTGGTAAAGAAAACTCAGAATGGAGCTGTGAGGGTCAAGGCAGGAGGGAGGAAGCACCTTTGCTGAGGAGCTCTCACACCACAAACTCCTCAGTGCATTATTTCATTTGAGTTTTCCAATAATTGTGTGCATTAGATACGTTTACCCTCACTTACACATGAAGAAACAGAAGATCAGAGAATCCAGTGACTAAAGTCTAACTTGCTTCTGCACACACCCCACACCATCTCTGCTGTATCAAGCTGCTTTCCTACTGGTGCAACTGCATAATTTCTATAGGCTGCAAAAAAAGGGGTCCTGACTTTTCTAATTCATTCATAAGGAAGCAACTTCACATGGCATATATCTGCAAAATATAATTTTTCTATTACAGAGAAAGCACTGGAGTCTTCTCTCCTTTGGGGTACTTATCCCAATCAAGCACATCACCCCCAAAGGACCCGTCCAGGGTCTAGCTCTTGAAGAAGAGGCAAAGAAAGAGTCATAGTCAGGAAGTGCAGCATTCCATTGAAGATGATCACGTACCCCAGTTTTCAGATGACAAAGGACAAGGGATGTGTGACCCCATAAAAGATCCTAAGAGAGAAAGCACCCTCCATCACTTTTTTTCCCCCTTGTAGAGGAGATTGAACACAGGAGCGCTTACCCATTGAGTCACATCTCCAGACCTTTTTATTTTTTATTTTGAGACAAGGTCTTGCTAAGTTGCTGGGGCTGCCTTTGAACCTGTGATCCTCCTGCCTCAGCCTCCAGAGCTGCCGGGATTACAGGTACACACCACCATGCCTGGCCTCCATCACTATTCTAACAGACTAGAATCTCCATTGTCCAGAAAACAGTCAGCTAGATGTACAATTGGGGAAAAACTTGTAAAAAAGCTATTTGTCAAAAGGACAGTGGGAAATACTTCTCCCCACCTTCCTCCAAGCTTTGAACACTTGTGGCACACAATAGAGAGGAAGAAGTCATAAAAATGACTGGACATGTGTCCTTTTGAAGTACAGTAGCTGTGGGACAAGTGACTATAAAAATGGCATAGTTGGCAAGATCCACATCTGCTCCTGCCCAGTGGGTTTCCAGACCAGAGCCCGTGGCCTGAGCCAGTCAACTGGAGCTTCAGTGCTGTTTGTTTTGTTTTTAATTTCCCTTTCCCCTCATGGATGCTAGCAGATCCCACGTACAATAAATAACTTGTCCACACCACACTTGCCACTTAGGGAGACCCCTGGGTCATTGGAGGGCAAAGAATATAGGTGTGGGGTGAGTGGCCACCTCTGCAGGAACCCATCAGGAAAGAAGAAGGGCACGGGTCCCACAGACTGTAACGACCAAGACCAGGAGGTGGGGCTGAGGCTGCCTGTGCAAGAGAGGGGCCCTGCTCTACCTGTACTTGCGTGGGCATGGCTTACTCTCCCCATTTTCCACCCTCTTTCTCCTCTAATCCTCCCTCCCACCCCTGCCAGGTGAAAATCCCAAAGCTGCAAATACTGATACCAGCCTTCCAGGACACAGGAGACTCCAGTTTTCTTGTGGAAAAAAAGGCAAAAATACTCCATTCCTTGTCTGCTGCCAGCCTCAGCAAAGAGTAACAATGCATACTTTAAAAGATAATTCCACAGAGCCAGTAGGTGACAGTAGTCTAGGACAGTCATTCCCAGCCTTAATTAGTAGAGGACTTTAGAAACGATTTGGAGGGGCAAAGGAAGGGTCACATAAAGGAGTTTGAATTTCTGTTCCTTCTACAAGCCTGTGTCCCATACACAACATTCTTGGACGCTGCATGGTGGAGGGCTCGCAGTTCTCATGGTATTACCATAATAGTATCTGGATCAATTTCATTTTAAATCCAAAATCTTTCAGATATTTCTTTTGGGAAGGCCAAATAATTAAGTTGATTTAAGTTGCACTGTTTCTAAAATCTAAAATAGAAATTCTGGCCAACATTATCTAAATTAAGTGTGATGAGGTTTCTAGGTGTTCTCTTGGATTACATGAGAAGATTCCCAGCAGGAGCTCACAGGCTTCCCTGCTCTATGGCACTTCAGTCAGCCCAGTCTAAACATGCCAGGGGACCAGGAGGTCCAGAGCGAGCCCTGGGAGCTCATCTGCAGATAAGCAGCCTCTGGATATAGGGGAAGACAGGAGGGTCAGAAGGACTGAGACCACCAATGCCAGAGCTGGACAAGGGAGGTCCTGGAGCTCATCTGTTCCTCTGCTCCGAGGGGGAACCCAGGCTCCTCATGCAGTGGCAGAGCTGCAACTAGCACCTAGGACTTTATGTCTAATGCCCCTATCACCTCCCTACATGGAATCTAGAACCCCAGCACAAGACACTACTTACCTGAAGGTAAATTAAGATGGCAGCAACTTGCCTAAACTCCATCTTTGACCCTCCACTGCAGAATAAGAGTCCCCTCCCCCCAGTGACTGTGGAGCACTTGGAAAAGGGTTATGTAAGGGAGAACAGCCCACAAGGCCCCAGGAATTATCAGCTCATTCAGAGGCCTTGCAGGAATTTCCTGTTATGTGATTTGAGACTTGCAAATAGCCACCACCAAGTGAAGGCTGTCTCTCCTTCCTCCCCCCCCGCCCCACTTTTTTTTAATTTAGTTATTGGTTCTTTTTAGTTATACATGAAAGCAGAATATATTTTGATTAATTATAAAAGCAAGGAATATATCTTATTCTAGTTAGGATCCCATTCTTAAGGATGTACCTGATGGTGGGATTCATTGTGTTGTTTTCACATATGCACATGGGAAAATTATGTCAGATTCATTCCATTGTCTCTCCTTCTCCTATCTCTCCTCCGGGGACACTGGAGCTTTGAGTCACTAGATGCCTGGGCCTGAAGCTCTCTAGTGACTGGGCCTCTCTCTAGGAACGATGTCCACAGGGAGCCGTCATTGGAGGCTACCCAGAGAACAAGTGGCCTGCAAGCCCAGGGGACAGAGGAATCCCAGCTCTTTCTGAGAAAACTTGGGCAGCTCTGGCGCTGGGTGAGGTGTCACTCTACCTGTTGGAGGATGAGTCAGCAACATGGAACCAAGGCCATGGGACTTAGTTTTCAACAAAGCCTGCTCTGCTCTTCCTCCCTCCCACCCGTAACTATAGTATATAAGCACACACAGTACACAAAAGGGTAGGTGCCACATGTACATACCTACCCTGGTGGACAAATAAAGCACAATCCCTCTTATCCTCCCCCAACCACCCTGGCTTTGGGGATCTCTCCTTGGTTTTCCTTATAATTTTGAGCACTTGTGTTATGCACCCCCAAAGCCTACCACTTAGTTCTGGCTATCATCGCCCGTAGCCACCACTGGCTCATTTTGTTGCTATCTAGTATTCAAGTAAATGAACACATTTTATTTAACCATTATGTTGTCTAAAACATATAAGCTGTTTTTAGTTTGGGGCTATACAGAGAATATTCTTGAACACATCTGGCTCCCAGATGTGGAGTTTTTCTGTGACATGCACTTGACAACCAAACTCTGCCTCATGCAGAAGGCGCTTTCACCTAGGCAGGCTCATGCAATCAGTGTTCCCAGGGGGTACTGCCTTTCCCTCCTCATAATGCCACCCATCAGCCCCGCCCCCCTCCCCCTGTCATGTATGAGAGGGATCATGGCGATTCCAAGGCAAAGAAAGCCCAGTTGGTCACCAGAATGTAGGTTAAAACCTGACACCTCCTCTGCCAACAAAGTTCAAGATTTTAAACTTCTGAGCTTAACCAGAACCAACAATTAAAACAACTGGGCTTTCCAGATGAAAAATGTCACAATGCCACCCAAAGTATTGGGGTAGCATCTCAGCCTTGGGGCCGAACTGCCTGCCCAGGCTATCCTCAGGAAGTACGAATGTGTTCCCAAGGCCACAAGTGTGGGAAGAGTGCACACCGCAAACCCCATCTCTGTGGGTGGAAGAAGAGAGGACAGGGTGGGGAGGGGTCTCAGCTCTACCGACCTGTACACTGGCTGCATCTCTCTGGCTATGCCAATGATGGCACCTGGCAGGAAATTATCAAACTCTTCAAACAACTCCCGGATGTTGGTCTTGTACTTTAGATCGAGGTCCAGTTGAATGATCTGCTGTATCTCTGGAGGAAGAAGAAAAAAAGAAAGAAAATAAGGCCAGGTGTGGTGCTGCACACCTGTAAGTCTAGAAACTCAGGAGGCTGAGACAGGAGGGTCACAAGTTTGAGGCCAGCCTCAGCAATTTAGTGAGATCTTATCTCAAAATAAAAAAGAGAGAGCTTAGATTTAGCTCAGTGGTAGGGCACTTGTCTCACAAGCTGTCCAGTGTTAAGTTGCTCATTTCACTCTCAATGGATAATACACTATGTGGACACTCCATATACAACTCAAAAGTGTTCAGTGCTTTCTCTTTGGAGCATGGGGTGTTAACACTCCACAGAAGAGAGAAAAAAAGACATCTTCAGCTTAGGCCCCTCACTAGTTCATTCTGCAAACCCAGATCTGTGTTGAGATGCTAAACCAGAGAGAAAGAGCTGGAAGACCTTGGACACAGCCATGCTTTCGATCCACTGTCTACAAAACAAAAGGAGCCAAAATGATTCAGTCTTGCAATTATCTGACATGTAAGAGCTGTTAACTTCCACAGTCTCCAGATATTTTGAGGGTGAGAAGAGAAGGAGGGCAGCAGAGCTGATCCCAGGTAGAAGCAGAGAGGCATGGCCAGTTCACTCTCTTGTCCTTCACCAGCCAAGCCTGATGGAGTTCGTGGCGTTGGTGCCAGGAGGGGGCCAGACACTAGGTGGGCAAGGGCCCTGGCCTCCAGGGGAGACGGTCAGGTTCCTGCAAGCAGAGGAGGAGCTAGATCTGAAGCATGGACTAGAAGGGCCATGCAGATTCCCTAGAGGGGTGCCTGATGCTGAATGATACAGGAGAGCAAGTACTTGTACCAAGGAGAAGGACTGGCCCTGGGTCAGAACACATGAGCTCAAGTTCCACTTTTGCTGCTGATTAAACCTGTGACCCTTGGAAGGCTGTTTTACTCTCTGAACCTCAGTTGCTTCATCTATTAAAATAGGGAGGATAGTACTCATCTCATTGAGACGGGGAGGCTGGAGGATGAGGTTGGGTGTGGGAAATCTTACAGGCTCTAGGAATCCAGAGTCTGGACAGCAGGAGACTCACTAAGGCTTGAAGCATTCAAGGAAGACTTCCTGGAGGAGGACTTAGGCTGGGTCCTAAGCATGGGAAAGAAGAGGTTAAGTGACACCCACACCCACTCTAGAACATCAGGGTTCGCCCTTTTGCTCCCTACCACCTTTTCTTGCCTGGCCAGTCATAGCATTACGACTCTCTGAGGACAGGCTACCCTCTGAGGATTGGGACCACATCTTTGGCATCCTGGCCTCCATCCATTGTTCAGGGTTTGGTATTCAGAAAACACTCAGAGATGTTTTTGGAATTCAATAGCCAATCTCTAAATTATTCACACACACAAAAAAAAAATCACAGCTTATAATTCAAGAAAAACTGATTCATTTGTTCCTTGTTCTATTTTCCTTTGTGACGCAGAAACAAAACCTTAGTTGACATTCTACATGACATTTTTAGAAAAGAAAAAAAGAAAAACATTATAGCAGATGAGAATCCAGTTGCTCAGGCCAGAGGAAAGCAAGAGGCTGCTGGGCTGCTCTGGCCCTCACACAAGAGGGCAGGGGAGGGGAGCCGGAGCCCGCCAGGCAGACAGATGTGGATCCTGCTGCCTGCACACTGCAGCCCCCACAGGAGAGGAGTGAAAGGGCTGTTTTCCTTCCTGGACCTAAAAACAATAACAAGAGCGACAACCAAGAGTCAGGGGAGAGCCTGGGAGTCTGGAGGTCTGGAAGCCTGTGCAGTGACTGCTGGCCTTGGAGACGCCACCCTGAACAGGGGGAGGAGGAGAGACAAGCCTTGGCCAGAGCCTCGGGGAGGAGGCCCTGCACAGAGAGGGAAGGACCCCAGTGGTGACATGAGGAAAAGATGGGAAAGAATGGCCAGGAGTGAAAGCTGCAATCACCAAGAAGTCATGTAGACTGGTGGACCATCAAGGGCCAGCCATCTGGGGCTGGGGACACCGCGTGGCACACACATCTCCAGCCATTTATCTTCTTTCTTTGGGTCCATCCCATGTGCCATGTGCCAGGCTCCCACACCCAGGTTTCAGGAAGCTCTTACACATGGAAAAGCCAGGCCACAGAAAGTCCTAACAACGGGGACAGGAGAGTACACCCTCCCCGCAGAGAAATCCCATGGTCCCAGTTCCACAGATAAGAAGGGTGAGGAATCAGGGCCTTGGGCCAGGAGATGGGGCAGCTTTGAGGATCACAGTGGCAGTTCTGTGGTGTTGACAGGGTTATGAGAGCTGGGGAACCTCAGCTTCCTGACCCAGGGAGTGCTTCCAGCAACAGCCGTGATGGCCACCCAGAAGAATCCTTTTCTCAAGGAGTTTCTCGGGGGCCAGCATCACCCCAGCAAAACAGTTTATTTCCTATAATTGCCCAATACATTAAGCACAGTTATTCCTTTTCAGAGATGAAAAAAAACATTGGCCCAAGATCACACACAAGAAATCCATGTTGGAGAGGGGCCGCAGCTTCGGTCTGCTTGACTTGAAAGTCAGCACACTCCTTCTAGTGCATCCCAGTTCCCCTTCAGAGAGGTGCTAGGGAGGCACACTTTGGCTCTGCTACCCCACACAGGGGTCCAGGGCTACCAGAAAGAGCCAGGGATGTTGAGAGACAAAAATAATTCCGGGCAGCAAGCTGGTCAAGTGTGGATTTTCAGGAAAGTACACAAGGACTTTATAGTAATGTTGCTGCACTTAAAGAAACCTCTGGTGGTAGGAGAAGACTCCGTCCACTTAATCCTAATGAAGTTCTTCATGGGAAATCTCCCACACACCATGTGTACCCTCTGGGCCTTTAAGACCACCTGAGTCCTATTTATTCTGCAAGCAGCAGCCTGAATGACTCCTTCCCTGGGTTGTCTGGGTTGGCCCTGGTCACATATTGCGACCTCTTCTTTGTGCCCCTGAATGACTGCTGTCCCTAGCCGTTGCTCCCTCTGCACCTGCTCACCACTCTTGCACAGGGGAGGGGAATGTGCCAGGAGGGCAGAGCTAGAGACATTAGATGCTTCCTAAAGAGACCCTGCTCCCTCATCTCGGCAGATTCCTGTCATGTCTTAATGAACCTCTCCATAATCCGAGCACTTTCCCTGCCCTGTGCACACTGGCTGGAAGCGAATCCTGAAAGGTCCCAGGCAGCCTCAGGACCCAGGACTCGGAGGTGCGTTAACCGTACTTACAGATCCTCATTCCTAAAGCACCATCCAGGAGCCTCTGCAGCTGTCAGCACTGATGGTGAGGGGGGTGGGGGGGTGCTTCACCCAATGAGTAACTGACTAGGAAGGAAAGCAGCCACAGCTCAACACAAAGAGACCCCTTCACCCTGATGTGAAAGGACAGGCCCAGGCAGGGGACAGAGATCGTTCCCTTTTATTCAGGGAGGCTGGAAGCCTCCCACAGAGCCTGTATTGTCACATAGGCATCTGTCCAGAAGGTATCCTTTTATGAAACTATGAAATAAGATGCCAAGTTGTAACTGTCGACTGCTGAAAGGAGTGTAATGCTTACCAGGAACACTGCAATTCATTAGCATGAGACTGCTTAAAGGGACTTGTCCTCTGGTCTCTGGCCATGGTGAAGCCATCTCCATGAGGACTATACCTGGGCAGTTTTAATCATAATGATGAAGGTGCTCTGAGGTCAAATTGAGATTGCTGCAGAGAAGGGACAGTCATAGTGATGGCCCAGAGGAGATGCTGGTTGAAAGACAGCTGGTACAACGGCAGCAGGACCACTGAAATTTAAGGAATAAATAAATGTGATAGTTGTTCCCAAAGCCAAGTGGGAATGATATCTATCATGCACGGGGAAGAATGTCTGAGAAAGGCAGACAAGACATCTACAAAACTCAAAATAATGGCCAGCATCCAGGAAGGACATGGATGGACATGGATGTGTACAAACAGAATAATCAAGAATGACAGATCTGAACAGACAGCCTGGTAATAACTAAGGCAATCTACCCATTTTACAGGTGGGGAACTGAGGAACAAAGAAAAAGAGGGGCTTGTCAGGGGTCACACAATCAAATTAAGAGGCAAAGCTGAGCTGAGAACTCAGGTCTCTGACTCCCCAGCTGATGCTCTTGTGCTCATTAGACTACAGCCCATCCTTTCAACATGGGCCATAAACTCCTGGACAGCAGAAAACATAATATTGTGGCCCAAAGGTGCCCAGCACAACCAGCTCATGAGGTATCCACATTATCAGCCCACACAAATGTCAACCTGAAGATAAATAAGGAGTGTAAAAGAAAAGAAGTGAGACGACCACATGGCTCACATCTAACAGCCAGTTCTCTGGAAAGAGAATGTTGTTCTCCCCATTCAACCTCAGGCAGAGATGCTAAGAAATGATCAATCTTTACACTCCTCTAAGAACATACCTTGAGTTGTGTTAAACTCAAAGGAAGACAGGAGCCAGATCCGACGCTGCAGATACTAAGTGGCCCCAAGAGTCACAGGCTCAGTGCCTGGCGAGAGACACTCAGCCACCAAGAGAAAGATGCTTGTCATCCACCTCCCGGTTCCCTGTTCTAGTCAGACCTGTTTGTTTCTGGAAAAGTGTTTGCTGCAACGTCCAATTAGTTACACCTTCTAACCAGCCCCTCATGGTTAGAAATTTTCTTATGCATTTGCTTAAATCATATCAATAAGAGTGAAGCATCAATACATGCCAGAGGAAAATTTTCCACGTGCAGGGTCAGTGCTGCATGGGCCCCTGGCATAGGAGGTGCACACTTGTGCTGAGCATTCTCCTTGGGTGAACTCCACTGCCTACCACTGGCTGCCTGCTCTGGAGAGGACAGAACCACATGAGCTCCCTAGATGACAGTCTGGCAACCCACTGAAGTATGCCACCCGAAAGGGGGAAAAGGATCCAGGGCTCTCTGGTCTGACACATAATTCCACTTGTGCTTCGGCTCCAAAGGACAGAGTAGAAAATGTGGTCCTCACAATAAGGTGGAGGAGGGAAGAATTCACTGGATTAGACAAAGGGGAATAAAGGGAAGGGAGGGGGGATGGGAGTAGGAAAGACAGTGGAACGAACCAGACATAATTTCCCCATGTTCATATATGATACACGATCAGCATAACTCCACATCATGCACAACCACAAGAACGGCAAGTTATACTCCATGTATGTATGATATGACAAAATACCCTCTACTGTCATGTATGACTAAAAAGAATCAATAAGAAAATGTTGTCCTTTCTTCACAAGGGGATGTGTCTGAGGCCCTGTAACGCCAGGCCGTACTGGGGGGCACTGAACTGCAGAAGGCCACGTTCATGGCATTCATAAAAGCAGGGAGAGTCCCAATCGACATTCCTGTCCAGAAACAGGCTGGGACAACTCATCAGCTTTCAATTAAATCAGCCACAAGGCATGTCATCTGACCACGCGTGGAACTACAGCCCAGGGTGAGTAATCAATGACACCGGGATATGAGCAGCACAAGGGAAAAAACCCCAAAGAAAAAAGACGCCTTTCCTTTCCCTCTCCTCCCTCCCCAGAAACAATCCCTGGCAGACACGTCTTAACACACACAGAACAACATGTTCAGGAAGAAAAGGAAGAAGAGCGAGTGGGACGGCCACCCTGGGAAACAGGCAGGTTCCCCAGGCAGGCAGCTTGCTCCCTTTCTATTTTGAAAGCGCTTCAGAGCTTCCCAGGGATAACTACATAACCCATCAGAGGGTTTTCACTGGAGAACAGCAGCCCAAGCTTCCATGGGCAGGGAAAGGGTTTGAGAAGAAGGGGGAACGATGACAACACTGAGCTATGTGACTCTGGCGTCCTGATGCAGCAGACCTGGAAGCAGCTGCCGGGAGAGGGGGCCTGTTTTCTCAGTGTCCACTTTGAAATACTGCAGCCATTTGCCACCTGCTTTATCGTACTCTGGAGCTTTTTTATTGCTGTTTGGCAACACCTCTGGCCTGCAGGAGCCAAAGGGCAAGTGGACGAGGCGGAGACTTCCCCTAACTGAGAGGCTTATGACCCGGGAGAGGCTGTTTTGAGAACCACAGTCCCTGTGTGCCCCACCAGCTACACCAGGACGGCCCCACCCCTCAAGGGGCTCCGAGCACATGACGGATGGATGGCCTGCCACTGTGATCACAGGCTGGGCTGTGTCTGCAAGGGGATCTGTGCTTGGAATTGGCTGTGGTGGTTCTCACATCCAACAGGAAACTTGGGTGATTTCCCAACTGGTCCTGGCCCTGGCCCTGGCCCTCAAAGTGCTCTTCTCTATTCACTCGCAATGGAAGGCCCAGCTGCAGGGCAGCTGGTGAACTATGGGAATAGCGGCTCTGAAGGAACACAGCAAGAGACACCAAGAGTCCAAGGCTGTGGGCACAGATTCCTGGGGCTCCTCCAGCCTGGCCAGAAAAGCACTTCCTCTCCAGGAGCAGGGAGAGGGTGTCTGTATGCCAGGGCTCTGCTGAGGGCTCCTTGTTTACTGACTCAGCTAATGAGTCTCCCCTGCACTTATGCTAGGGAATATGAGTACCTCCTACTTCCAAAGGAGAAACTTGGGGCTCAGAGAGGTTTGGCAACTTATCTAAGAAGGTCCAGTAAGAAATCAATCATAAAAGTGCCTTACTCAACTGTTTGACCCATCACATACAAATTTTTGAGAAAAGTCCTCAGACATGTCTGAAGCTCCCTATTTAAATCCCATTATCTGAGACAAAGGGAACACCGCAGCCTCTGCCCCTGCAATGCGCCAGGCCGTGGCCACCCAGGGACTTTGAACATGTCGAGGATCGCCCTCAGCAGACTTGCCCAGGAGAGAAAAGCTTGGAGGAAGGACTATCCCTTTGGCTTTGTGGCTGTCCCAATTAAGAAGCCAGATGGCATGAGGAACCTGATGAACTGGGAATGTGCCATCCCAGGAAAGAAGGGAACTCCGTGGGAAGGAGGCTTGTTCAAGCTGCAGATGCTCTTCAAAGATGACTATCCATCCTCACCACCAAAATGTAAATTTGAACTATTGCTATTTCACCTGAATGTGTACCCTTCTGGTACAGTTTATCTGTCCATCCTGGAGGAGGACAAGGACTGCAGGCCAGCCATCAGGATGAAGCAGATTTTATCAGGAATACAGGAACTTCTAAGTGAATCAAACATCCAAGACCCTGCTCAAGCAGAGGCCTACACGATTTACTGCCAAAACAGAGAGGAATATGAGAAAAGGGTTCGAGCACAACCCAAGAAGTTTGCACCCTCATAGACAGAGACCCTGTGGCATCACAAAAAGAAGGGATTGGTTTGGCAAGAACACCTTTTGCAAATCTCAAGTCGCTTGTGCAGTTACGGATTGCCTGGGAGGGTTGGGCGGGCACGATCTTCCATTTCCGCCACTGGCATGCAGTTCTCAATTTGCTGAATTGCCCCAGTTTTTCATAAAGGGTCTCTTCCTTCAGTCTTTTGTATTTTTGATTATTATGTAAAATTTGCTTTTATTTTAATATTGATGTCAGTATTTCAACTGCTTTAAAATTATAAACTTTTAGGGAGGGGAGGGGAGGGGGGATAGTAGAGGATAGGAAAGGCAGCAGAATACAACAGACACTAGTATGGCAATATGTAAATCAATGGATGTGTAACTGATGTGATTCTGCAATTTGTATACGGGGTAAAAATGGGAGTTCATAACCCACTTGAATCAAAGTGTGAAATATGATATATCAAGAACTATGGAAGGAGACCCTCAGAGTTATACAAAAGTACATACAAGAGGAAGTGAGGGGAAGGGGAAAAATAATATAAGGGGGACAAACGAATGTCAGTAGAGGGAGCAGAGAGAGAAGAGGGGAGGGGAGGGGAGGGGAGGGGAGGGGGGATAGTAGAGGATAGGAAAGGCAGCAGAACACAACAGACACTAGTATGGCAATATGTAAATCAATGGATGTGTAACTGATGTGATTCTGCAATCTGTATATGGGGTAAAAATGGGAGCTCATAACCCACTTGAATCAAATTGTGAAATATGATATATCAAGAACTATGTAATGTTTTGAACAGCCAACAATAAAAAATTAAAAAAAAAAGAAAAAAAAAGAACTATGTAATGTTTTGAACAACCAACAATAAAAAAATTTTAAAAAATAAAATTATAAACTTTTATACTTGGGTAAGCCCCTAGGAGCTAGTTCCTTTGCTTGAATGCAGGCATGCTTCACCATTCAGAGCTGTCCTAGCTTCCAGCGGGCTGTGTGAAGTCCCTGTCCCTCCCTCCCACACCCTTCTCTCAGAACCTGGCTGTTGCTAATGCGCCTCTGATCCAAAGTCAGCAGCATCTTGACCTGCACCCCTTCCTTTGTGTTTATATGGCATTTGTCTGTGTTGCTGTTTAGAGTAAATAAGCTGTTTATACATATTTTTTTAAATCCCATTATTTTTAAAAACAAGAAAAGTTTCTGCATCAAAGGTGGAAATATCAGAAAACTTCATGTCATCAATATGCATTACCTAAGACTTCTATGGACAGAGAAGGGTTCCCCATTCCCACCATCACCTCCCCCAAGACCCTCATTCTCAAGGATTTTGAAGACTACTGAGATTCCCCTTGATTGAACAGAAGCCAAAACCAAACTTCTGGAAAAGAAAGTGTAATGCCACAAATGTAAGCTGAAAGGAAATCTTTAATGACAACTGTCAACATGTATAAATATATCACACTCACAGAATCATCCAAATGCAATGCGAGATTAGAATTATTATTTCTATTTGCCAAATGAGAAAACAGAGAAATTAAGTGTGGTAATCAAGGACACAGCTGGTAAGCAGAACGCATACTCAAAGTTCCAAAGCCCTGTGCTTGCTCTTCACCCCATGCTCTCCTGCCTTCCGGGTCCCTGGATGCCAGGATCGGGCCAACAGTCAGCTCTACAGGCTCCACTCAGCCCGGAAGTCCCTGCCTCCAGTGTGCTAATCTATGTTTTCCACATTAGCAGCTGGCCCACACCTCTGAGGGAGGGGGAATGCAAAAGGAAATGAAGCTCATAAGAATGATTTATGCAACCTGTTAGCAGTTCTGGTAAGAGGTTTGGGGCCAGGAGGTTGATATTAATGACCACAGGCAGTTTTATATATTAGCTATACAACAAAATCTTTCTTGCAGCCCTGCTCACCTCCTCTCAGAATAAATCATGGAAACTGTCAGCGATAGCTCAGCCATAGTGTTGTTGCTAACTCTCAGCTCCTGTTTTGTGGATAAAACAAATTATTATGAAAAGATGTAGTTTTTGCTGCAGAGTAAGGTGGGTCTCCTTTGTCAGTCTTGACAACTTCAGTGACTAGGTGCAATCATCTGCTTTAGGATAGGATGAAACTCATTTATTCATTTATTATGATCTTGGCTGGAAAACAAGGGATATATACATACAACACGTAACATCCAGTCTAAATTTTCCTCTCCACTTCTATTGACAGAATGAAGTTACAGCTCTTACACCTATTTATGAAGTTCAATGTGCAAGGGAAGTGGGATTTTACATCTGAAAATCTTCCATTTCTATGCTATAGATGTCCATGGTCCCTGGTGGCCTTTCCACATGTCTCTCTGGTATCTGCCAGAGACTTTTTTCTTTTTGGTCTCCCAAACCTGGAGTTCCCCTTCCTGTTTGGGACAGTTAGCCTGAGGTAGGCTGTTAGTCTTCAGGAGCCAGCTTTCTTTCAGACTTCTGGAGATGGAAGCCATAGAACCCAATCTTCTTTGGGTGGAATTAACAGATGTTCTCTAAAGATGATTATACCACTGACCTGCCCAAACTGTGAGGGGTCAAATTCCCAACTCCCCATTTGAGGCTCTCTCTAGAGTCATGGGACTCCCATTTCTAACCTCCTGGGCCTGCTCTCTTTCCATTCTAAACACTCCCTCCCCATCACTGGCCCACCTACATTATAGATTTGTGTGAAATTAGGAAAGCTAGCAAAGGTTTCCTCCTTGTGCTCGCAGGTCCTCACCCACACTGGTCAGTGTGCACTCCCAGCTCAGGAAATGAGTGTCAGCTCATTTAATCCTTAAAACAACCCCAGGGACAGAAGTATCCATGTAGATAGGATTCAACTGCATTTAACAGAACAACATGTAAAGTAACAATGGTTTGAACACACGTAAGACTATGGCCAAGCCATTCAGGGAAAGACTGGCTGCTCCACAGGTATCAAGGGTCCAGGCTCCTTCTGCCTTCCCTTTCGGCTGTCCTAGATCCAGTTTCCATCCTTTAGGTCACCTCATGGGGCTCCTGTAGACTTGGCTGAATTCCAGGGAACAGAAAGGAGGAAGGAGGAACGACACCTCCGCCTGCTCCCTGCAATGAGGCAGGCCCTGTAAGCCGCCTTTCTGCAACTCTTCAACATGTCTTCTTGTATCTGGCTGCACAAAATTTAGTCACATGGTCATACCTAGCTGCAAGGGAAACGTGAAGGACATTTTATGGCATAAAGCTGCCCCCAAATAAATGGGACTCACTGATAAATAAAAAAGAAAAAAGTTGACACAGAGCAGCAACTGGGCAGACCCTCAGTAGTATCACAACCCCCAAACTGTTTCTGCAATGCCTACAGGAGTTCTGTGAGCAGGATGCCTTGTTTGGGGAATCCACTCAAAGATGGCTGCTATCTCCTGAAACTGTTCTGATGGCAGACTTGTTCCATGCTGACTCTGAAAACACATTTCCTGCAGCTGCCTGGTTGTGTGCATGGAAGCTCATCTGTAGTCCTCTAACTACAAATACCTCAGCAAGTACTCACAGTTGCCTTTCAATGTTCTAGCACCTTGATGACCTCTTTTACATCTCCAATATTTCTGTATTTTGGCAGCAGTTCTTCTTGGTGTAAACTATGAATTTGCCATTTTATTCCAGTATTGAGCTGCCTGTTCCTTCCACCCAGCAGACACACCCTCCTCCAAAGTGTCTTGCAGTCCACCACAACCTTCACACTCAAGGTTAAGGTCTCTTCTGCCTCCTCCAGCTGAGAACAGTTGCAGGACCTATAGGCAAGAGAGTGGTGTATAGCACTGACATCCTTTCAGTGACGAGAGCTGCCTTCCGGCAGTCCCTAACCACTGTCAAGGACTGGGACCACATGGCAGCAGCAGAAAAGTGGGGCTCCACACCATTCCTGCTGCTCAAAAACCCACATCAGCAACTTTCAAGGAGAAAACCCAGAGTTTCCACTTCATTAACCTGGACATGCCTCTCTGCACCTCAAATGCAAAGAACTACCCATTCACAGATCTTTTGCAGCATGAGGAAAAATACAATGATCATCTATTCAGTGGCAATACCTATCCCTGTGAGTTGGTTTGCAAACTGACTAGTCAGGGGTCAAAGAGTTCTTCAGGTTTCCGTGTCTTTTGCCAAAATATCATGCTATAATATTAATTTTTATGTGAATTTTCAAAAAAGGATGAACTATTTACCATTATTAATAAAATGCCAGGCATTATGCTTTTACATCTTACCTCAAATAATCTTCCCAGGTAGGGTTTAATGTCCCCATTTCACAGTTTCCTCTCCGGGAGATACACCAACACTTCCCTGCTAGCCTCCCTGTCTACTGAGGTCCGAGCAGCCCCTCCTGTTAGGAGTCTGAAGAGAACAACACAAGGATTGAGGAAATCAAGGACCTGGTCCCTGTGCTGGGCACCCAGTTTCCCATCTTCACTCAACATATGAGTTGCTTTCCTATGAAGTATGCTCCCCATTCATTTCCACCAAGAAGCCCCCTTCCAGCTTTTCCCCATAACAGTCCACAATTGAAAAGATTCTGTCTACCAGATTGCATTTGAGCACTAGTTAATTCATTTCCTTATTTTAATTAAACTTTTAAAGTTTATTTAGTTTTTCTTTTATTTTAATCAAATAAAGCTTACTTGCTTTGATTTTAATTAAAGACTTAAAAGTATAATGTCAAAGTGACAAAACTGCAGCTGAAAACCAAAGGGGAAAAAAGCCTGGTGCAGTGGCACATGCCTGTCATCCCAGCAACTAGTGAGGCTGAGACAGGAGGACTGCAAGCTTAGTGAGCTAAGTTGCCGAAGCTGGCCTTGAACTTGCAGTCTCAAAGTAAAACTTTAGAAGAAAGGGCTGGGGATGTAGCTCAGAGGTAGAATCCTCCCGGATTCAATCCCCAGAAGAGAGAAAGTAAGCAAGCTTTTAACTCCTAAGTATTTCAGCACACGCTTCCTAAGAAATGAGGACACTTCCTTCCGTGACAGTAGCACAACACCAAAACTGATGCACATCAGTATCTCATCACTAGTCATATTCAAATTTTGCCAATTGTCCAAAAACAAAAACAAAATTTCTGGT